ACTGTTTTGTTTACTAACTGTCCTCCTCTGTCAGCTTGGGCACACTGATTTGGATGGCTGTGCACAGCAGTGAGATTACAGTGAAGCACACAGACACCGCCCCCCCCAAGTAAAACACTCTCTGCACACAGTTAACCCTTTTCACGCCCCTCATGTTAACCCCTTCCTGCCCAATGCCATTAATACAGTGTCGGTGCTTTTTTTTTTTTTTTTTCCTTCAGCACTGATTACTGTATTGGTGTCAGTGGGGATGTCAGTGACACCAAGTCAGTTCCTCCCAGTGTCAGAATGTCCACTGCAGTCCCAATATATGTTTCTGATTGCCGCCATTACTAGTAAAAAAAAAAAAAGAAAAAGAAATTCCAGTTTCTATACCGCCATTTGTAAACGCTATAACTTTCACGTAAACTAATTAATTTACACGTATTGGGATTTTTGTTTAGCAAAGATATGTAACAGAATACATTTTGGCCTAAATTTATGATGAAATTTGATTATTTTTTTTACTGGACATGTTTAATAGCAAAAAGTCAAAAATATTGTTTTTTTTTTTCTCAAAATTGTTGGTCTTTTTTTTATTTTCTTTTATAGCATAAAAACGCACACGCGATCAAATATCACCAAAAGAGAGCTCAATTCATGGGAGAAAAAGGATGTACATTTAATTTGGGTGCAGCAGTGCATGAATGCGCAATAGGCAGTGCTTCAACGCAAAAAAATTGCCTGGAAGGGGGGTAAAACCTCAGGAGTGCAAGTGGTTAAGCAAATTGGATTGGAGGTAGGCTGGTGTAAACAGATACGTCCATTTACACCCACCTGTCCCTAGGGAAACATGGGCCCATCAGATCAGGTCTGCCTCAAAAACTGACAGGCGGATCTGATCGGATCGCATGTGTGAAAGTCCCCTTGAATCTGTTGGCTGCTTTATTTATTTATTTTTTTTTCAGCTGGTTATCCTGCCAGTAATAGACCTCCTGTCCTATGGTGAGAATGCACACACTCTGTACTGAATCTATGGAGAAGAAGCATTGTCACTGTAGGGAAAAGTAGTAATGTTAGGACTGCAGAACACCTTCCCCTCTCCTCTACATAACATAGGGTTTTAAGGTGTTCTGCTTTACAAGTTTGTGGATGCTAGTCATAATGGAAGTGCATTGAAATGTGTACATTGAGTACTAGTAAAGCCATTATTTGGCATCTTCTGTATGTTCAGGCTCTTGAACATGGACCTGTTGAGCCTGTTCAGTATATTTCACAGCGTAATGCCTCTGCCCGGGCAGCACAGGTACAGCGTGTCATTGACATGAGTGGCTCTGGGCCACTGTACTTGTGTATAGAGTGGTGCTATTGTAAACACAAATACAATGTATGGGTGTATGCAAAAAGAAAAAAAAAAAAAAAAATAGAAAGTGTTCAATTTTTTTGTATACACCTGTACCCTATACGTATGTTTCAGATAGCACTGTTGTATACTTGGGTACAGTAGCACATGGCCATTCAAGAAATGCCCTAGCGGAAAAGAAAAAGGAATTAGCGTAGGGCAGGCATGACTAGGCCTAGAGTGAGAAGGAAGAATAGAAAGTGTTAAGTATAGTGCCAGGGGGTTTGAAAGTATAGCGGGGGGAGCTGGTTGGTAGAGGGAGAGCGTGGGTGGGCTCTTCTGTACCTTAGGGTGGGGTGTCCTGGTGGGAGGGCGTCAGTCGGAGCTGGACGTTGGTGAGAGAGCTTCCCTCCCGCCTTCCCTATTTAGGTAGTGTTGTGTTCCTCTAAGGGGAATGGGGGTTATTTCGGTTCATGGGCGGTGGTTGGTCTTTGGAGGCGGTTCTTATCTTGGAGGTACAGATAATGGTGTGGGACCCATCGGTGGTATGGTGTGCCCGGGAACAAGGTTTAACTGGAAGGTGGTGGTGCTGCACTGCGGATGGTATGGTTGTCTCCGAGCTGGTTGGTTGCGGCTGGAGGCCTTGTGTAATATGGTGGTCCGCAGGTGCATTTCAGATAATTTTTGGGGGGTGCCTTCGAAGACCAACAACAACTCTGTTTCTGTTATAAGGAATGGTTGGTGTTAAAATGTGTTTGTTAATAAAAGGCCGTGTTTGCCATTTTACTCCAAAATTGGTGTCATGTTTTCTTTGAGTATAATTTAAGGGGGGGATCTGGATGAACCTATCTCTGGTGCACTAGTCATGTCATTGACAGGCTGTACTCTGTAACTGGGGCGGAGGAAATACATTGGGAAGTACCCTGAACAGGCTTAGCCAGCCCCTGTGCAAGAGCCTTTAGAGCAGTGGATGAGGCGTGGTAGTAATGTGCAGCCTGTAAAACGGTGAATGGCAGCCTGCAGAAAAAAAAAATTGCTGCTTGTGGGAACTGTTGCTTTTACTCTTGTGGGAGCGATTCCCTAGTGACGACATAGTTTGTACATGAGGCAGCTGAATGTCTGTCAGTCTTCTGGGATAAGAAACTGAAATGAATATTTCCACTCTCCCCACCCATAATCAGCTGTTCATTCCAGAGCTTCATAGCGGAATATATATTTGTGCAAGCAGCCAGTCTATCTAAAAAAAAAACAAAAACAAAAAAAAACTTTTCTTTTGTGTTTGCGTTCCACTTTGGCTTAAGTTTTCATTGCTTTTGATTTGGATAGATATTACAATGTTCCTCCACAGTGAATTGGGTGAGATATTCATTTCTTTGGTGACATGTACCGGTGTACACCAATGTCTCAATAATTCTGGCTAATTTTGCCTGTTCTCATATTACTCTGTATTTCATTGAATTCTTCTCTGTTGCTCTTGATCTGTTTAAGTTACAACAGCAAATATTAATAGTGGCACAAGAAAAACTGTGTGCTCCTTTAACCACCATTTTTATATTGCTGCATTGTTAAATCTTTACTGCTTTAATTAGCAGGGCTTAAATGTTATAGGAGCCAGATAGCCAATAAGACCAAATTTGTGTTTCGGCTGCTAACATGCTTTGTGGCTGGATTGGCTTGAAGCAGAATTCTTCAAAATAGTCTACCCTGTTAGCTTGCAAAAGACTCCTTTTCATTAAACTGATTGAAAACGCCTACATATACCTAGTGAAGTGACTAGCATCGAGTGATATACAGAGATGAAACAAATTCTCCTGTACAAGTTGTACCTTTTTAGCTGATGCATTTCTTCTCTAGATTGCTCCAGTAGCACATAGATCAAAGAATGTTTGCACAGGACTCCAGCAGTGGGTGAGTATCCAAAGTTTCAGGCCACGGGACACTTCTGAACGATGGAAGCTGACTGCTGAAAAGTGTAGGTTAAAATACGTCTGTTTAGCCGCGTTTGCATAACGCGTTTGTGTGTTTGCGCTTAGAAGCGTTTTTTAAAGATAAGCACAGGAGAACCTCCCAAATGCCCAGAATGCACTGAAAAGTGGTCAAATATTAACTATTTTAGACTGTTTCAGAGAAATACAGAGAGTAGAAGCAGAGACAGCAGTATGTGTTGGGATTAACTTAGGTGTGAGTTGCTCATTAACATTTCTTTTGTTTCCAAGGGTGGGAAAGGTGTCTGGTGGAGGGAGTCATTAAGGTCACCTGGCAGGGGGTCTTCATGAGGAATTTGAGGTGTGAATGATCATTAACATATCTTTTGTTTCCAAGGGTGGGAGAGGTCTGAGGTGTGAATTGGTCATTACAACCTGTGACAAGCTTGGTACGAACATCCTGTTTTCAGTGTTTTGTCCATATGAGCACCATGAAAATGCTTTACATGCATTTTTCATGGTGAAAAAAGGCTCTGGACAGCATCAGGAACTGGAAGAGTTGAAACAAATTTGCAAACACTTATAAATGCGATTTGCTGCGTTTAGCCTCATTTACAAGCGTTTTGCTTTTGAAATGCTGATAAAATCGACTGCTGAATGCAAGTTTTCTGCGTTCACAAAAACGAGTAAACGAAGATGTGTACATGGACACATAGGAAAACATTAGGGTGAGTTCAGGGGCTGCTGAAAGTGAGTTTATCAGCTGCAGTGTACATGAGCCTTCACAGTAAGATCAGTGAGGGGAGCTCTTACTCCTGATTGGAGGGAAGGGACACACCCCCTTCACACAGTACAGGGAGAACATGCAGGCAAAGCTGTGGCTATCAGTCAAAGGCGTTGTGCTGGAGCTCTGTCAGTCACCTTTTTATCTGTGCTTTGTTCATATTTCATGTCTGAGGTTTACAATCATTTTAAATCTATTCCAATGAAAATTCAAAGTACAGTAGAATAAAGGCCTCACATTAAAAAATGTGCTGCGGCTCGTAATTCTAAGTGCGTCCGCACTTAGGGCTTGTTCACACTTGACTTTATTTCTAACTCTTGCCAAACGCCCCTATAGCGTTTGACAGGAGTTTGGGAAGCGTTTTTAACGCTCCCCAAACGCCCTATGCGCAGTTTTGAGGCGTTTGATAGGTGTTTGCCAAGCGTTAAAACTGCACCACAAACGCCTATAATGACGTTAAATGGTATTACCGCTCCACAAACGTCCTGCAACCGTGTTGGAACCTCACTGCAAACGCCTGCCAGGTATTTGCGGAGTGGCACCATAGACTTGAATGGGAGGCTTCAACTCCTCCTGACTCGACATGAGGCGCCAGTTTTGCTGCGACGCTAACGCTTCAGTGTGAACAGCACTGTGTGCTGCCATGTGCAGAATTTTCATAGGCGTTTGAGAAGCATTAAAAACTCTTCCCAAACACCTGTCTGACGCCTGCTGACAAAGCTAGTGTGGATGTAGCCTTAAAGTTTTCACTTAGTTCCACAAATACCTATTAATGCTGCCAGTGATGTCAACGATGCTACATTACTTCTGAACTCCGAGCAGCATACCTCCCAACTTTGCAACTTTAAGCAGAGCTCCACCCAGGAGGGGAAGTTCTTGCCCTACAGTGAGATCAGATGATGAAGCAGGGGGTGTGGCTGCTTTTGCCAATTGTAATAGAAATGGATTGGTAGACTTGCGTTTCAAGTAAATGGTCAATACCTTTTCAGAATTTGCCGGCTACATATTTAACGTATTGTCTGTCTTTTTTTGTTCTCAGTTTGTGAAATGTGGCTATGCTGGATCCAATTTCCCAGAGCACATCTTCCCAGCCCTGGTTGGACGGCCTGTCATTCGCTCCACAGCAAAAGTGGGAAACATTGAAATCAAGGTAATTTAATTGAATTATTTGTGTTTGTTACTGGATTTGTAGTCTCTTAAGGAGGCTACATTGAAAAGAAAAATGATCTGTGTTTCATAGAACAAATTGTCAGTCTGCTAACATTTTAATATTACAGGTTATAACGATGTTTCCCAACTACAGTCTTTTAATACCACAACAGATAACTCACAAAAATAGAATTGCCCATTAACCACTTGCCATCTGCCTACTAGTTTTAAACGGCAGGACGGTGTCACTCTAGGGGCGGGTTGCCGTTCATAAACGGCACCTGCATTTTCTAGTTGTGCGCGCTACCTCGGAGCGCGCAGCACCGCTATCTGGTGCCCGCTGTGTCCTCCGGACACAGTGAAACACTGATCGTCAGGCGGGACCTCTGTGTGAGGTCTCGATCATGTGATTACTGATTGGCAAATCAGTGATCACATGCAGAGTAGCAAGCAAGATGTCACTTCTGACATCATTGCTTACTACGTGTGAAATCTGTGAATGATCACAGAGGTCACATGGTACAAGACTATTCACAACAGCCTTATACCATGTGATAAGCTGTGACCAATCACAGCTCACTCAGTAGTTCTCAATGGCTGTAAGAATGCAGCTAGAGATAAGGAGAAATGATTGCTTTTACACCCATAAAGGCTGTAAAAGCAATCAGCCTTTATGGGTGTAAAAGCAATCCGTGTAGAAAAAAAAAATCTTCATCACACCCCTCAAGTAGTACAGTGTCACCATGGTGACACTGTACTGCTAGGGTGACAGTATGTAAAAAAATAAAGAAAAAAATATATAATTTTTGGTTATAAACTAATTTGTGTTATTTATTTAAAAAATGCTAAATTCATATGGATACAGTGTTGCATGACCGCACAATTGTCATTCAAAGTGTGATAATGCTGAAAGCTGAAAATTGGCCTGGACAAGAAGTGGTTAAGGCATTAGACCCGTTTTCCTCAGCATAGAGGTTGTGTGGCATTCCCTGCCCAGTGTATGTGCCTGCTGGACGGGGTGTATATCTCTGAAACTAGAGGACGTTTGCTGATTTTATGTCTTCAATCTTATGTTTATGGTTGCTTGTAGACACTGCCAGTGAAAGGCTCTGGGTTAGGGATTGGAGAACTGTTCAGACTGGATAGAATATCTTTCAAATCACTGTTGTACAGCTCTGTGGCTCACAGCAACGGTGGCATCCTGCCTTCTTCCCTCCCATAAATATGTTTTTCAACTAACGTTTTGAGGTGCTCTGCGGAGTCTATAGCATGAAGTCAGTTGGAATGTACCTGAATATCTAAGTTAGCTGTTTGTGAAAGACTAAAAGGTGCCCCATAGAACAGATGATTTATATTGCGCCACTAGATCAACCATTAGGGCAACAGGTTCCACCTGGTGATTTCCTGAAAGCATGACCAACTGGTGGCATGTAATGGGTGGATTTAAGAAAAACTGAGTTTGAATTCCAGGTACGCTCTGGGCAACACTGTTTGCTTTAAGTTTTTTTTTTTTTCTTCCCTTGCTGCTGCCCACGTAACACATATATACGGCAGCGAAAAGGTGGGCCTTCATGCCAACACGCTGCACATATACGTCACTAGGCAGTCACTGTTTCTGTGCTGCTCACAGGGACCAAACTGTCTAGGGTAGGTCTTGGTCCCCACTAATGATCAGTTGCTGGCAGGGCCATTTCCTGATCACATAATCATTGTGACAGCCAGTCAGTGGTCACATGATTCCTGATCATTCCCATCCCCCCGGGCCCTAAGAACTTTTTAAAGAGATGCCGGAATGAGCGGGAAGAGCATAAAATAACTCTTGTTTGCCCATTGCTTTAGGCATTTCGTAATCATCCAGTAATAATCTTTGCATATTTGTTAAAGTATATCTAAAGGTAAGGTAAAAAAAGTTTGTTTTGTTTTTTTGATCGAGTGGAGAGGGATTAGAACCCGTCAGTTTTTAATTGTTGTCTGTGTCCCCGTAAGGGATATTCTCTCTTAGTCCTGTTTACCATTATCATTGAAAGTAAAAGAAAATTTTTGGTTGTCCCTAGAAAATAAATAGAGTGGAGGTACTAATTCTAGTGACCTGGGGTCCCCAAGGAATTCCTTTAATTTGCCAGGATTCTCTCTCACTTCCTGTTTGGCTATGGGACAGGAAGTGAAGGGAAATTTCCACAATGGGACAAAGATAGTGGAGAAAAAAATTTGACAGGGGTTTTAACCCTCCTTTACTCAATCCAAAATGAAAAAAAAAGTTTTGCCTTTTAGTTCTACTTTTGAGGAGATTTATCATTATATGTGATGTAAGCCTGCCACACACATTAAATCTTCAAGTCTGTTGCAAGAACATTCATTTCATGTGTTCAACGTACTTTAGGCATGTTATCTTCCTGTAAGTCTAGGTTTACACTAATGCTGTGTTGGAAACATTGCAATCCGTGCAAGTTTCCCACACTACATTCAAATTGCACTGCCCTTGGGATCTGCAGCGGGTGTCAGTGCAATTTAAACGACGCCCTATACGGATCGTAAACGCATTGTGTTTGCAGTGGATCACATGGTGCAAAACAACTGTTCAATTTGGTTGCATTGTATTCCCGAAACTGTTGCAGGCATGTCTTTGGTGCGGATGTGGTGCGATTTCAGCCATTCAAAATGAATGTTTAGCCATCCAGAAGCCCTGAGACTGCTGCTGGCTGTCACCATCTTTTATGTAATGTTATATCATCAGCATAAGTCACCTGCAGCTCCAGCAGACTCAGACCTGTCAATTGCTGTTGTGTGGGGTTTTTTTTTTTTTTTTTTTTTGCTGCTCCTTTGGCAGCTACACAAAAGATTGAGGACAGGTAGAGCAGGTGGGCAAGCACAAACACTAACTAGACACCACCAGAAGAGGAGAGGTCTATAGCTTGCAAGGAAGGTGGAGCTGTATTTATTAGAGAATTGACTCTACTGAAGTAGCAAAATTTGCTAGCAAGTTCAGAGGCACATGGCTAGCCAATAAACAAAGTTTATGGAAAGGAAGAATGCTGCAAGTAAGCATTTTTAAAATACTTGATATGGTTGGCGACAGGGTCTCTATAAAAAAATTTGGATAGATGCTGTCATTAGTGACAGGATTCGTGCCCTTCTTATGCCAAACTGAACAGGCTAATGCAGGGGGAGGGTAATAATGCAGTAAATATTTACAACTGACTGGCTAACAGCCCCCACTGCTCTCTAATACACCGCATTAGGGCTGCAAATGTAGAATGGATTTAAGTCCATTCAGCCTTAGTCTCGTCTGAGATCCATTGCAGCTTCTATGCAAAGTTTTTTTTGACCTCTTTCCAATCTGCTATTGAACCCCTATTGATTTGTTTTCCGAAGAATGTATTTAGTTTGAGATTTTCCAAGACCATAATATAAAGTACAATAACTGTACAAAAAAAGAGAAACCGGTATGTGTTCTGTACACCTCTGTGGGGCTGCCATTCAGGAAATGTACCAAGGGACAGTAATTTTAAAATGCAAAGGGTAGGAAGCGAAAATTGTAACGTATGAAAGATTCCGTAGCTAGTACAAAATATACAGGGGATAGTGCTGCCAGTGAAGGATGCTCCTTAGTATTGATTACAAACCCTTCTGCAGGAATGGAGGGGAGGAAAGTGTCAAACAGTTCATTGCTAAGGCACTGGAACAGGGAGGGAGAAACGGAAGAAGCAAGTGCATTCAGAAGAAAAACAAGGGAAGTGGAGTAATAATGAGACAGAGGAGTGGTGCTTGCCTGGGGTAGACAGAGAAGGCCAGAAAAGGAGAGAAGGGAGAATTTGGGGAATGGTCTTGCATGGGCCAGCGGTCCAGAGGCCCAGTCCTATTGATTTGAATGAGGTAAATGAGTCCTGATAAAAACAATAGCCCGTGTACACAGACCCTTTTATACTTCTCTGCATCCATGATCTAGAATGTCAATGCTCACTTCTCCACTCACCTAGTCTCAACCAGCTAATAAGATCAAAAGACACTTCACTTAGAGGCAGAGACCCCCCCCCCCTTCCCTGGTACACCAAGCTCCCCACCTTTTCCTGCTCTTTTCTCCTGGCAAACCTGTACGTCTTTATATACATGTTCTGTTATTCTATTTCTTCAAATTTTGCTGTTATATCTTATTTTTATCATTTTACTTTTTTCTTTTCTTTTATTGAAATCTTCAAGTAGAATAAGAAAAAGATGGTAAGCAGCTGAGTCTGAATGCTTGATAAGGTTGTTTGTGCATCTAAAAATGCATATTTTGTCTAATTAACCATATCTAAAGATTTGTTTGCACATTAAGTGAGATTCTACTTGTCTCTGCATGTTTGTTTTCTCAATTGATCGCAGCATGCCTGTTAATTACGCACACAACCAAACCTTGTGGAACCGTGTTAGGTCAGTTACGCAATATCGGCAAGCAGTGTGACTTGTCTGAGCTCTGCAAACAGTTATCGCATGGTGTGGGAAATTAACAAGTAAGCAAGAAAGAGCAATTTGGTAGTAACAAGCATAAACTATGCTTATAATGGACTCTCAGAAAGAAAGCCTGTGTGTGTGCATAATGATATACTTATGATGTGCGTCCAGGGGCATCAGTCATACCTTGCCAATGTCTCTGGAAGCTAGAAATCACTGAAGTAGACATCACTACTACAGTGATCTCCAGTTGTTTTTCGGGTCCTGTGCTGAGTGGAAAATGCGAACATTCTCTAAATGGTACCTGCGCTGAGCAGCCAACCTCCTGTGTTCAGAATGCATCAGGGCAGCAGCTTGGCATAGGACCCAGAAGCAAGTGTAGATCACCCAATAGTCTACTTAGGTGATTTCAAGCTGGACAATGTAAAGATGAATAAAATATCCATACCCGGAGTTCTTCTTTTAAGTGGGTTTTTATTCCGGCAATTACTAACCTGTTTGCAGCTCTTGCACATTGCATCTATTGCAAACTTATGCTTTTAGAGCATGTAAAGTTAGTTTGGTGGATGGCTTCTAGTAGTTTACAATATTGGTAAATTTGTGTTTTTCCTATTGCTTTTTTTTTTTAAAGGATGACTGTGTTTGTAAAGTTATCCTATAAATGATCCAAAATTCCCATGCCTGCCTGTCTACACTCCTGCCAGATCCACACCTTGTGGCCCATGGGGAACTGCACAGCTGCCACCAGAAACTCCTCCGTTGGTTCTGAATTCTTCTGCACATGGTTACACATATCCCATTCATTCTCTGGAAATTCCATCTGTCATTGGTTCGCATAATAGAGGGCCTCCCTGCAGGATGTATGGATAATATAAGAAATGAGGCACATGCAGATATTAGTATCTTTAACAATGGTGTAATTTTCCCTCCACATGTGATGATTTTACCTGTGTAATAGAAAGTCTGCCTTTACCTTGAAAAGAACAAATTTCCTGCATTCCAGGCTAGCAACTTCTTGTTGCTCCTTTTTTTACAGCACCAGGTTTGACTAGTTCTGGAATGTGAACAGGAATTTTTTTTTCCATTGCTGTCAGTAGGTAAGCTTACACCGAAATAGCATGTCCAGCAGACAAGGTGTCTGCATCTACTTTGTTTAGTCTTAAGCCATCCATAGAGCCATTTTCTTTCCTGCAACTACAGGTTGCATGAAACAAAATTACTCCATTTTCCCCATCAGCAGTCAGTGCTGCCACGGGGTCATTGTATTCTCCTAGCGGGGGGGGCCTATTCTGCCAGAAAAACACTGATTACTGCTAGTGGCTTTAATAGCTGCTAGCAATAATCACATGAAAAATCTGATGGGCTGGTTGTACCCAAGTTGCTTGATCGACTGATCAACTTAGGTACATTCAGCCTGCCCATACATTACCTTGTGAACCGGCCGAGATTCAAACAGTCATGGCTGGCTTTAAAATGTTGTCAGACCAAAGATTTAGGTGGTGCCATTGCTGACTTTTTTTAAGGGCTCATTCACACCACGATGCAGTTTTTCTACACGCATTCTGCAAGGGAACAACAAAATCAGTCATTCACTATGTGCCCTGTTCACACCACAACACTAGTATTACATGCAGATTTTTTCTGTGCAGGAAGTTCCAATGTGTGTAAAACTCATTGAAGCACACATGAAAACTGTTGTAAACAGATGTCCCCAAGTGTCAGTTTCCATCAGGTTTTCTGCACGTATGGTGTGAACGAGGCTTTTAAGATGCAGACACTGGCGCTGTCATCCTTATTCTTCTTTCACTGTTGATCGCAGATTTGGAATAAATGTGCGCATATTGGGTGCCAGATGCCTAAATATGTAGATGTTGGTTCCAGGTCAGTGAATGAATAGAAGCGTCACAGCGCTATAGTATACACCCTTTAAAAAAAAAAATAAGTTAGATTGTTGACCAAAAAGGGATCATATCTTTCATGGTAGTTGGGTAGTTGACCCTTCCTACTCTGCTCATCTCTTGTTGTTTAAAAGGGGCCATCTTCACAGGCCAATAGGGAGATAACTACATAGTGACCAACAGTTCTATTTCCTAATAAAGCATTTCGGACTGAAAGTTGCATCCACTTTAATGCTGCCAACAGTCGCCCGTGGCTGTTTGTATTAAACCACTTCAGTAGGTTTTAATGTGACTTTGTGTTTTAGATTACTAGTCTGTCGGAACATTCTCATGAATCCTGAATTCTGTAGGGCTGGAGTATCAAAATTGGTCATGTCGCTTAGTTAATCAGATTCCATTTGTCTTTTTTTCTTATCTAAAGGAGAGAAAAGAATGTAAAGCGATTATTTAGGACCATTTCATATGAGGCTCCATATTTTGTATACCTTTTTTTGTTTTAAGTAAGGTCAGCAAATCCACTGTCAACTTTCAGCACATAAAGTACTGTACATCACAAGTGTGCCTGACAGTTGACAGAACTTTTGCACTATAAAGTCTTGCAAGCTAAAATAAAAAGGCTTGACTTCTGTGCCTATTGACTGTATCACACTAAAATAAGTAATGCATAGGTTGAGATGTGTAGTATTGAAACAAGGTGGGAGAACTCTTCGTGTGGTATAGATGCAATTTCAGCTGTGTCAAAGGTTTGCAATGATCCTAAGTGGTGTGTGACTTACATAATCAAAATCTGAGCTGTGGACATAGAAAAAATGTAAATATATACTTTGTATGAATATTTTACCTTTTTATATATTGCATCACTATACTACAAAAATCATAGCTGCATGTTTGTATTGAGCATTGTCTCTGCATTCTCAGGATCTCATGGTTGGTGATGAAGCTAGTGAGCTCCGTTCAATGCTAGAAGTAAACTACCCCATGGAGAATGGTATTGTGCGGAACTGGGATGACATGAAGCACTTGTGGGACTACACATTCGGGCCTGAGAAATTGAACATAGACACCAGAGACTGTAAAATCCTCCTAACAGAGCCCCCGATGAACCCAACCAAAAACCGGGAGAAGATTGTTGAGGTAATTCATTCTGATTCTACTTTGTGTTTATAATCTGTGCAGAATTGCATTAGGTGAAAGGACAATCCTCTGGTAATTGGATAATCTAATGGGGCCACTTGTAATTCCTGGCCACTGAGGATGCTGATGTATGTCTGTTGCAAAGAAATAACTGTGATCTTAATTCTGCAGTTTTGTTAGGCCTTTTCATTTTAGTAATAGGTAGTCATGCTTTTTTGCAGATAAGAGTCCTCTTACTATACCTCTCTTTTTGTTAGGATTTGGATCTAGATTTTTGGTACCACCTGTAGACACAAGTTTTGGACCAACAATAGACCGTCCCAAAAAAATAAATAAATACAATGGTGTGTACATTTTGATCCCCACAGCAGTTCCACAGCAGGCTCTTGTGGGACTACTGGTCACAGCAGGATATTGCATTCAGTGGGACTATCGGTCGGAGCAATAGCGGTGCCTTGTGGGACTACAGGTCACAGCAGACTGATCAGTGTGAAAAGGCCATAATGTGCACCAAAAATGCAGTAAATGGGACTTTTAAAAACGCAACTGACCAGTGTGGAGAGAGGTGTGAAAGCAGCCAAAAACACAACTGATATGCTTTATCAAGTGAAAAACTGATCAGTGTGAAAGTGCTCTTAAAGGATGTTTTTGTATGTGGACCGGGCTCACCTTTTCTGCCAAAAAATGTTTGCTTGGTAATACACCATGGAGAGCAAGTTCACTAACAAATGAAGTAAATCTCATTAAAACCCTCACGTGCACAGTGCCTGAGGTCCCAGTATTTAAAGATTTTTTTGGACAAATGTCTGGAGGCCTTATTTAAAGACTGAAGGGGGTAGCTTTCCAGCTGGCAATTGTGATTGTAGGCTTGTGCCAGAGCCTTGAGCCTTAAGGTCTGGGCTTGTCACATGACAAGAGGGATACTACTAGTGGAGACAGCTAAACGAGCAGGAACCTGGTGGATTTACTCTGTGCCCTTAGCTTTTCAGTTGACACCTTGGACGACTCCATACAGCAACTTTCTCATTTAGGGGTCTCGTCCGTACACATACACAGGATCTTCTGGCTGAAGTGTTGGTCAGTGGAATTGCCCTGCAAGGGCCATGTGGAATGTTTTTTCCTTTTTCAGGGGAACGTTTTATATGGTCCTGCCTTGGATGATTACATCCAGAAGGTGACTGTGTAAGAAAACTGTTCTTGCTTAAAAAGGTTAACCCTACAGTTCAAGAACCTGCCACTTCTACTTCTAAAAGGCATTACTTTTGCTAATCTAATATTTTGGACTTCAAGCCAAAAGCTCAGCCCCAGTTCTGTAACAATCCAGCCTGGATTAAATCCTTTTCACAAGAAATGGGCACCCCTACTTGCTCGGGTGAGAAGATATTTGCAGGCCTTCACAGAGATTTGGCAGCAGGAGATTGAAGATGAGTGAGTCTGCAATATATTGACTTGCAGCTGAAAGCTGGAATTTCAGAGCTTTCCTCTTTAGTGCTTTATGCTTTCAAATGTTTCTTTGAATCTGCAAAAAAAAAAAAAAAAATCTCTTCTTTTGCATGCTCTTAATTATCTCAAGATGTGATCATTCTGGTTGCAGAGGGCAAAAGGTTTTATGGTTTCTACTCAAATCTTTTCATAGTTCTGAAACTAGACCGCATTGTTCATCCTATCTTGGTTCTCAGGAGGCACAACAAATGCAGAAATTCTGGCTGGAATCTGTGCCGTCAATGGTGGACTCTATCCAGTTGGGCGATTTCCTGTCATCCGTATATATCCAAGATGCTTGCTTACACGTTCCAATTTTTCCACCTCACCAAAATTATTTGCAGTGAAGGACTGCTATTATGAGTTTGTGACCCTACTGTTTGGCCTGTCCACATCTCACAAAGGTCCTGGCTCTGGTTTTTGGGCTCCTGTGTATCGGGGTATCACTGTTTTATAGGGTACCTGGATGACTTTGTTCTGTGGTAGCAAACTGCTGAAGACCAATGTGTCTCTCACGGTGCACTCTGGAGAGGTTCACATGGGTTCTGATTTTTTTTTTTATTTAAGTCAGCCTTGGTTCAAACCCAGAGGTTGGAATATGCATCCTGATTCTGGATACTGTCCAGGCCACAGTGATCCTCCCTCCAGACAAATGTCTTGCTCTGAGGGAGTAGGTTGAGACTCTCAAGATGTTGACAGATCTCTAAATTGGCCTTTTCATGAGGTAGTTCTTTGTCCAGTTTCATGCTGGGGCCCACTACTGGTCTTAGCGGCATGAAACAGGAGGATGCGGTCGTTGGCCTCCCCGATGTCTTTAACCCCCAACACAAAACTTTCTCTAGAATGATGGATCTCCTCACAGATGCAAGAGATAGGAAAATCATTTATCTCTTTATCCTGGAGGGTCTTGATGGGCTGGAGTGGAGTTCTGGACAATCTTTGTCCAGGGAACTTGCTCACAGAAGGAGAGGTTGTTGCCTAGCAGTGTCCTTTTAAATGGAGGGCAATTTGCCTCTCCCTACTGCACTGTTTGCAGCCGAAAGTCCTCCTGTAATGATCCAGTTGGGCTGATAGGAAGGAAGTGCGTCTCATCATGTCTTGAACGCAACTCCATGTTTCCGAACTGTCACCCATCCACATGCCAGATGTAGAACATTGGCAGGCAGCTTTTCTCAGCTGTCAGCAGCTGTCTCCAGGGGAGTAGGCTTTTCACCCAGAAATGTTTAAGGTACTCTTCAGATGGTGAGCAACCCTTGATGTAGATCTTCTGGTGTCTAAGTTCATTGCAAAGCTAGACAGGTTCATCTCCAAGACAAAGGATCCTTCAGTGTTTTGCGAGGGATGCTCTTGTGACACCGTGGAACCATTTCTCCGTAATTTTATAGGATTTGAGTGAACGGAATTCCTGTGATCCTAATTGCTCTAGCTTAGTCCAGGAGAAGGTGGTGCCCCATTGTAAACATTTTGGTGGGCAACCCTTGTACTCTTCCAGATTAGCCTCATCTTCTATCAGAAGGTTAAACCTTCCATCCTTCTTTGCAGTCTCTGGCTTTAATGGCATAGCTGTTGAAGCCAGAGTCTTGAGAAACAGGAGAGTCTCCAGTTTGGTCATTCCTACCCTACTGAATGTTTGGAAGGCGACTTCAAGGTACCCAAATTTGAAAATCTTATTTTGTTTGGTTTTAGACTTGAAGATTTCATCCTCACAAGTGTGTCATGGGTCTCATCCTGCCTTCAATCTAGAGTTGATCAAGGTTTGGCCTGGAGTTCGATTATGTATCAGATTTTGACCTTGGCGGTCCTTTCAGAGATCAATTGCTTTGTTTCTTGGTGTGTGCCTTTGTGCAAGGCATCGTGTATTTTCCACCTCTCCGGACTCTGTGGGACTTCAACTTTAATACTTTCCATCCTAGATATTTGTTTAGTCCTGGCTCAGAAGGTAATTTTTTTTTTTTTATTTTTTTTGGTTGTCATACTTCAACTTCAGCTGATTGAGTTCTGGGATCTGCTTTTTCCTGGTGATCTACTGTGACAAGGTGTTTTTTTTGTTTTTTTTTTTGTTTTTTTAGCTTCAACCATCATTTTCACCTAATGTGGTTTCTTTTTCATCTCAACCAGGACAATGTGTTGCTGTATTTCTTTCCTAAGACTCCCAATGCTTAGGGTCAAGGCTCTTCACACTTTGGATGTGGTTTGTGCTAGCAAGTGTTACCTAAGATCGACTACTGCAATTCATCAGTCTGTTTCCTTAAGGCCCAAGGAAGGCTCATGCAACTTGCAAGTCTACCATTTCTTGTTGAATCTGTCAGCTTATCTCTCAAGGGGGAGTTCCACTGTTTTTGGTGTTGACTGTACCTGGAGTGTTGATTTCTTCCTGGGTTATTTTTCATTTGGCTTTGATAGTTTGAGTTAGTAAAGCTGTTACCACTGGGTCTTCAGTTTACTCTTTTACGAAGTATTAACAAGTGAATGCTCGAACCGCTGAGGACACCACCTTTTGGTTGGTGTGTTTTGCAGGCTGCTGTGTGAGGTTAAAAACTGTTTTGGTTTAGTTTGTGGGGACAGTAGGCTTATTGCTGTGTTGTGCTCTTCTTGTATTCGATTATTTGGGACATCCCTATCATAATGGAAATGAAGATACCATGTGTTCTGTGACGTATGATAAAGAAAATAGGATTTTTGGTTTACCTTTAAAATCCTTTTCTTGGAGTACATCTCTGGAGGCAGGGATCCCACCCCTCTGCCCTCGCTACAAAAACTAAAGCCTTGCCTTGCAGAGAGAGGTTATGCTTAGGAGGGGATGTCCTGTGTTTGTGTTATTTTTTTGTTTTGTTTTTTTGCCAGTGTTAAGTCACCTGAATGGAAATGAAGATACCCTCTGTGATGTGAGAGGGGAAAAAAAGGTTAGATTATTGCATGCCCACGGCCTGCATTTCACAGCCCACTCAGAAAATGTAGTTTCAATGTAAAGTAGTGAGTGTACAGCTTGTTTAACGGTGTAAATCTGCTGTCCCCTCAAAAAAAAACTCAACACACAGCCATTAATGTCCAAACTGCTGGCAACAAAAATGAGTACACCCTTAAGTGAAAATGTCCAAATTGGGCCCAAAGTGTCAATATTTTATGTTTCCACCATTATTTTCCAGCACTGCCTTAAGTCTCTTTGGCATGGAGTTCATCAGAGCTTCACAGGTTGCCACTGGAGTCCTCTTCCACTGTTCCATGACGACATCACGGAGCTGGTGGATGTTAGAGACCTTGCGCTCCTCCACTTTCCGTTTGAGGATGCCCCACAGATGCTCAATAGGGTTTAGGTCTGGAGACCTGCTTGGCCAGTCCATCACCTTTACCCTCAGCTTCTTGGAGGTGTGTTTGGGGTCGTTATCATGTTGGAATACTCCCGTGCGTCCCAGTCTTCGAAGGGAGGGGATCATGCTCTGCTTCAGTATGTCACAGTACGTGTTGTCATTCATGGTTCCCTCAATGAACTGTAGCTCCCCAGTGCTGGCATCACTCATGCAGACCCAGACCATGACACTCCCACCACCATGCTTGACTGTAGGCAGGACACACTTGTCTTTGTACTCCTCACCTGGTTTCCGCCACGCATGTTCGACACCATCTGAACCAAATAAGTTTCTTGGTCTCATCAGACCACAGGACATGGTTCCAGTAATCCATGTCCTTAGTCTGCTTGTCTTCAGCAAACTGGGGGCTTTCTTGTGCATCATCTTTAGAAGAGGCTTCTTTCTGAGACAACAGCCATGCAGACCAATTTGATGCAGTGTGCGGCGTATGGTCTGAGCACGGACAGGCTGACCCCCCCCCCCCCCCTTCAATCTCTGCCCAAATGCTGGCCGCACTTATACTTCTAATTCCCAAAGACAACCTCAGGATATGTCGCTGAGCACGTGCACTCAACTACTTTGGTCGACCATGGCGAGGCCTGTTCTGAGTGGAACCTGTCCTCTTAAACCACTGTATGGTCTTGGCCACCGTGCTGCAGTTCAGTTTCAAGGTCTTGGAATTTTCTTATAGCCTAAGCCATCTTTATGTAGAGCAACAATTATTTTTTTTCAGACCCTCAGAGAGTTCTTTGCCATGAGGTGCCATGTTGAACTTCCAGTGACCAGTAAGAGAGAGTGAGAGTGATGACACCAAATTTCACACCTGCTCCCCATTCACACCTGAGACCTTGTAACACTAACGAGTCACATGACATCGGGGAGGGAAAATGAATAATTGGGCCCAATTTGGACATTTTCTCTTAGTGATGTACTCACTTTTGTTGCCAGCAGTTAGACATTAATGGCTGTGTGTTGAGTTTTTTGAGGGAGTAGCAAACTTGCACTGTTATACAAGCTGTCCACTCACTACTTTACATTGTAGCAAAGTGTCATTTCTTCAGTGTTGTCACATTAAAAGAGTTAATAAAATATTTACAAAAACGTAAGTGTTGTACTCTACTTCTGTGAGTGTGTGTGTAATTTTATTTAATTTTAGGCAGGAGTATTGCTGCAGCAAGGCCACAAAGCTCTTTAATTCACGGAACTCAAGTGTCCATATTAATGCTTACCACTAACACAAACTGCACCCAATTGCATTATGAAGTCAGCTATAGAAATATTACCACTTGCAGCAAGAGTTGGTTCTGTGCTGCTTTTGGTGTTAGTTACATCACTCACAGCCCTTACATCTCTCATTTGGTGGCCATCTCTTGATAGTCTGGTGTGTTTGCATATAGCTGGTTGGGTAATAGAAAACTGATTCAATGAGTAGAACTTAAAGGGGCTGGGGGTCTGGTTTTGTTGTAGAATAGTGTCTGCATGTTTCCTTGGTTTTGTCCAGTATTTCTCAAAATGGATGCATTTTCACATTTGCCAGTAATATGATTGTTACCTAATTAGATTAAAATTTGGTCAACTGTTAAAAGTGACACTGAAGGATATCTTTATTTTTCAAAATTAATCCATACACATTCACTTATTTTCATTAGTGTATATATATATTTTTTTTTTTACTGTATTTTCTTCCTCCTTGTAACATCCTCTGTGAACTGCCTAACATCTACTTTTCCCCCCTCACTTCTGTTTCTTTGAAAATGAGCAGTGCATGTTAGTTGCAGTCGTGTGCTGTGCACTGCTCTATGCAAAATACAAATCACATATTTCTTAGTCCATCTTGAGAATGAGAGAGGGTGGCCATGCTTTTACTTGTTGTGGGACCATAGAGAACAAACGTAGCCATCTTCTAATGGGGGGTTGGAACATAGGAGCAAAAAAATCGGAATTTGGAGGAAGCTGAGAGGAGTAGAAGTTACTCTTCGGGTTAAGAATACATACTTGGATATTTTAATATAAACCAGTTTGTCACGTTAACTTTTTTTTTTTTTTGTTACCAAACAGTCTAATTTACAAACTGCCTTTTTTTTTTTTTTTTTTTCATGTAGGTTATGTTCGAGACTTACCAATTTTCAGGGGTTTATGTTGCTATCCAGGCTGTCCTTACATTGTATGCACAAGGTAGGTAACCTGAAATTACAGGATTTGAGTCTTTCATTGCATTTTGCATTCAAGAATGCTGTTGCTTATGAAGAAGTATTAGATGGTGCATTGATGAAAACAATTTTAAATGTACATTGTTTTGATCTAATAAGATAAAGCCAACATAGTCATCAGTTGCTTTTTCTTGCATAACTGAAAGACTAACAGTTGAAAGACTAACAGTTGAATCGTTAGTGTTATTGGCATTTTCACTTGTCACAAGTGTACATGGGAGCGTGACAATGTATAATTACTTGTCATCCTACGCAGTTAACTAGCCCTCTCCAAGAAATAAGCACACAAAAACCCTATCCAGTTTCCATGGTGACTGCAATTTACTCCATTACCCCGCTGAACAGGTTTTTAGTCACAAAGTGTACAGCACATGCCTCACTCTGCTAGGCCCTGGTAATGGCTTTTTATAATATCCTTGCAATACTGCTCAAATCACTGAATAGAGTGTATGTACTGACATGCATAGGTGTCTTGACATATCTGCTGCCCGTAGTGAGATGATTTTTTTTTTTTCTTTCATAGTCAGACACAGCACTTCATGTTCTTGTCCATAGCGCCACCTTCAGGAGTTGGATACTAGGCTGAAAAAAAACAAGCACAGCACCACCTATGGGCAGTCTTAGTTGGTAGTATCCCCTTCTCTGCTATAGGCAGCTTAATTTTTTTTTTTTAGCTAAGTGATTGGTTGGATGCAACAGCCCCATCCTGGACCAGGGCAGCCACTGAGTTAACTTGTGGTGACACATGACCAGGCATTTGACATCCATAGCAGTGTCACCCTGACCGACAGCCCCCCACCTCAATGGTAGGTGGATCTGTCTTGGGAGCATTACCCGCAACTCCTGCTGGATCGGTTAAGTAATTGCCCCCCTCCCTTAGGCACAGTGCTGGACATGGGTGTTCCCTTGGCTTTGTAGGGCTGCCTCCTCCCCAAAAGCCCTGGGCTCCCTTTGCTAGTTTCCTGTTTGCCGTTAATCTGGTGCCTAGTACACAAGATGGGTACAAAAAACATCCCCTGCCCTCATTCTTCTCAGAGGAGGTTTATGAGCTGCAGTCTGGCTTGGCCGTTGTGCATCCAGCTTTCTCTGTGTGCTCGGAATTGTCTGCCTCCGGTATTACTCATGACTGCACTGATTTGTCTCTTTTTGAGCACAGTTTTTGTCACCATAGGACTGCTCAGTTTCACTTTTTGGAGCATAGTGAATGAGTAGGCACTGGTAGCTGCTCTGATTACCTCAGAGTGAGAAACTATAAAAATTGAAGATATTTCTGGGGTCTCACAAGCCAGTCTATACTGCTAAAGTTTTTATTTTCCCCGATCTATTTCAATTATTTTATCTACAAGAATTGGGAATGTCCACAGCGATCTTTTGCAGTCGTGAAGCTTTTTTTTTTAGTGCATTGCACCTTTTGAGGAGGTTCTTCTGAAGAAATGGACCCCTCCTCCTGTCATAGATTCTTCTCTCTCTAGGTTAAAGTTGTTATATAGGCTCAAGGTTTTTCACCTTCATGCATTCGATGCATGAAGGTAAAAAACCTGCTGAGTGCATCAGCTCCCCCAGCCCCCTCAAATCTTACCTTGGCTGTCCCAGGTCTCTGCCTTCTGATTGGCTGAGACAGCAAGCAGGAGCTATTGGCTCCCGCTACTGTCAATCACAGCCAGTCAGCCAATGAGGATAGTGAGGGGGCGGGGCCACTGCACAGATCCATGTGTGAATGGACACATGCAGCAGGGTGCCCCCATAGCAAGCTGCTTGCTGTGGGGCCCCAACAGACAAGAGGATCCAGGAAAGCCTGCGGGGGACCCGGAGAAGAGGAGGATCCAGTCTGCTGTGTGCAAAACTACTGCACACAGCAGGAAAGTATAGACATGTTTTGTTTTAAAAAAAAAAAAAAAAACCTTTTAGAATCGTTTTAAGAAAGGTGACCATGATGTTGGTGGATGGGTCACCTTCCTTCAAGGATTCCAAAGACAGGAAGGCAGAATTGATCACCTACTCCATGTTCGCCCCATTTTGGATATGACCCTTGTGTCTCAAATACCCACTGAGTGGACTAAGCTCTTACACTGTGATTTGGATAATGAGTAGGTAATTCTGGCCTATGGGGACCTCGTTGATCAGCTGGAACTAGGCCTCAAGTGTGATGCGGTCTCTCTGCTTTCCAAGGTCTCCATCTTGGTTGTGGTGCTCTAGCATTTATATTCTCTGGCTTAAGTATTTGTTGGCAGATTAGACGTCTAAGAAAGCCCTGGCCGATTTGCTCTTCCAGGGTGCACGACTCTGGTGCCACCCTGGAGATCATTATTAAGGACCTTACGGGAGGGAAGATTACCTTTCTCCCGCAATCCTAAAAAGGCAAGGAGCAATACTGCAAGCAAGGTCCTTCTTTCTCTGCTCACTTTTTCATTCACCAGGCTCCTCGGACAATGGATCCCAGTCCTTCAAGGCTCCCACAGATGGCACTAAGCGATCCTGGACTCACAAGTCCTCCTCGGCATGAAGGCTTTCCCCCACCTGTTTTCTAAGTGGGGGGGACTTTTCAACCAATGGGCTGCAAACTGATTTTCTTATATGCCAGACAAGTTCTTTGCTTCAAATCTTCATCTCTCCCTGTCTCGTCTGCGGGCTGTATCGGAAAGGTGTCGGGGTTTTACTCTAACCTATTTATAGTTCTGAAGAAGGAAAGCGTCTGTCCGATACTGGACCCCAAGGCCCTGAATTGCTTTTTAAAGTACAAAGGTTTCAGGGTGGAATCCATCTGTTCTGTGGTGGCCTTTCATCGGGGGTTTTCCTGGCCTTCATAGACATCAAGGATGCATACTCACATATTCCGGTTTGTGGCGGGCACCGGCACTTCCTGTGCTTTGTGCAGGGAGACGTACAATATCAGTTTGTGTCTCTCCCGTTTGGTCTGGCCTCTGCCCTCTGCCCTCTGTGTGTTCCAAGGTGCTGGCTCTGGTCATGGCATTACTGAGACTATGGGGGATGGCTGTGGTAGGCTGACTGGACAACCTCTTCCTGCAAGTGGAAATTCAGTGCTGGGGGATAACGTGCCGATCAGCATGCCCACTCTGCAAGAGTTTGGCTGGCTGTTGAACTTCAAAATTGTCACTCTGACCCTGACCAGTCATCTGGAATATTTGGGATTGATCCTTTACTGAGAGTGGGGTGTTTCTTCCTCTGGATAAGCTTCAGAAACTTTGGACTGTTTGCTTTTTACTCTCATGCAGATGGTCTTCTCTGCACTTTTGCACGCTGGTTCCAGGTCATGTGGGGTCTACCTTCGAGGGAGTTCTGTAAGCTCAGTTTCACATCTGGGTCCTACAGAAAGCAATCCTAGCTGAGTGGGACAAGTCTCCTGTGTCATTGGACAGCCAGATCTGCGTGGGATGCTTGACCAGGGCCTCCTTTTTCTTGTTTCTTTGGTCTCGAGCTGTTTAGGCCGGGAAGTTTCTCCCTCACCATCAGATATTGGTTATGACAGACACTGGCCTGTCAAGCTGAGAGGGAGTTCAAGGTTCTCTGTTTCCCCAGAGCTGTTGAACACCGGACGAATATCGGTTACTCAGCAATGTACTGGAGCTACAAATTATCTCTCTCATTGGTTACAGCTTCTGTGGGGGCGCCTGATCAGGATCCAGTCGGACAATGCCATGGTGGTGGTTTATGTCCATTACCAGGGCAGGACAAGGCGTTGGGCTCTGGAGGCCTTACATTATTCTTTGGGTGTAACTACCTCAGTCACCAGATGCTGGATCAAGGAGAGTGGCCCTGCACCCTAAGGTGTTTTATCAAATCTGCCTGCCATAAAGCACAGTGGATGTACTTGTCTTCCATCCCAAAAGGAAAAGGAAGTATCAAGATTTGTTGCAAGAGTGAGGGATCCTCTTGGCAGATACAACAGACGCTCTGGTGGTGCAGTGGAGCCATTATCAACTCATTAATGCCTTTTTTTTTTTTTTTTTTTTCCCCCTCAAGCTACTCCCATGTCTGCTGCACAGAGTAGAGGCCAAAGGGATCCCAGTCATTATGGTAGATCTGGATTGGGCTTGGTGACCCTGTATCACGTACCTGGTGTTAGAGGCCAATGTTGAGAGGGCTTCCCTTGCGGCTAAGTTCCAGACTCCCCTGGATATGGGACAGCAGGAGTCGGGCCCAAAGTAGCACAGGTCGCCTGTAGGAGTGCTTGTCAGAGGTACACCCAGGAGCACAGCTGATGCACTGGAATGGTGTCTGCTACAGGTGGCGCCTGTTAGAGGTATGCAAGCCTTCAGGGAAACAGAGGACCACAGGATAGTCAGCTCAAAGCCAAGGTCAAGTGCCAGGTGGAGATTGGAGCAGACGTAGTCAATAGGATAGCCAAGGTCGTACACAGAAGAGCGGGTGAGAATATCCGTTAGCCAAGCCAGGGTCAGGTCAGGAGTCAGGCTGAGAAGACAGGTCCAAGAGCAAGCTGAATCGGTAACAGGAGATCACAATAGCAAGGAAACACGGACAAAGGTACTGGGGAGCCGGAGATCAACAAGCAATTTGAGGGAGTGATGGGCCTCCTTTTATAAAGGCCGTCTGGCGCCAAACTGACCCAATGCATGCGTAACTATGCGCTAGTGCGCATGCGTGTTTAGGCTTGCGTCCGAGCACCAATGCGCATAGATTTTTGCCAGCGTGCACTTGTGCGGCCATGCAAGGTACTGGCAGGAATGCCAGGTCTCCTAGTACCTTTGCTGTTGACAGAGCCCTGACACTGGTGGTACGCCGACATGGTGCGGTTGGTCTTAGATGTCCCCCGGTGGTTCCCTCTGCATGAAGACCTTCTGTCCCAAGGACTGATCTTCCCACCCTGCTTTACTGTCTCTGGCTTTGACAGCTTGGCTATTGAAAGCCAGGTTCTGAGGGACAGAAGGTTGTCTGCTTCTGTGATTGCCACTATGTTTAAAGGTGGGTAAATCCACCTCTTGGAAGATCTGTCACCGCACTTTGAAGGCTTACATTTCATTGGTTGATCCTACTTGCAAAGAGCCTTTCTTGATTTACATAGGGACAAGGATTTCCTGAGACTCAGGCCCTCCTTCCTCACCAAAGTAGTCTTTTCCTTTCAACCTCAAAAGCTATTGTCCTCTTTTCCCTATGCTCTGCCCCCGAAACATGCTAAGGAGGTTTTCACTCCTCTGCCTGGGTGTGGTTAGACCCGTTAGGGTCTATGTAGCTGCAACACCTTTCTTTTTGCTCTCCCTGAAGGGACATCCTGCTTCCTTTTTCACCATTGCTAGGTGGCCTAGGCAACTCTTTTCCAGTGCTTGCACTTTCAAGGAATTCCTCAATTCCCTTAGGAAAAAATTCCACCAGATCCTGGGTGTTTTTTGGCCTTTCAGCATCAAACAGGTGTATTTTACAGAAGTGTTTTGGGTCTGTTTTTTTAGCCTGTTTGCTATTATTTTGCTATGCTGTTGCCCATCCCTAAGTTTGTTGGGGGCCATTTCATGGTTTGACTTCCTGTGCTGTATTGTACAATTAAAATGTTAATCTCGACTTACCAGTAAGTCCATATCGTGGAGTACAGTACAAGACACAGGTCCCTCCCCTCTGTCCTTAACACTTCTTGCTTTCTGCAAGACTCTAGTCACATAGTGGATGGGGTTATGAGGATTAAGAGTTCCCAACAAAGCTTTTGCCAGGCCTTAGTCAACTAAAGGTAGCGGCATATAACCCATGGTCTGACTTCTGTCCTGTAATGTGCTCCATGATACCCAATTTACTGATAAGTTAAAATTCCCTTTTTTATTTTTGCTTTGTCTCAAATTACATATATCTGAAAGTACAGGCAAGCCTATAATTGATGCACATACTGTTCAGGTTTGTCCAACCTTATCTGCCCAAGTATCAGGTGCTAGTCCAGTTCATGACTGAAGAAATTATAAGGAAGTTGGTATAACTGATAAAACCAACTTCTTTATTGTAACATAGCCATAAAGACAATGCAATACAGCAGGAGAAGATGAAGTGCTTAATCAGTAGCACATTCATCATGCTGCTTAGCCTCTACTATAACATACATCAAAAATGTTAATTGCCGCAGATGAACATCATTAGTTCATCAAGTGGCTGTAAACCCTTTTTATACCCAGTGAATTGACTGGTCTCGGGATACACAAAGAAATCATCCTACATAAGTTTTACCTGTTTATCAGCAGCCCTCTTTCTATACCCGTTCAGATCCGGAATCTATGAAGCTTGTCTGAGCTGTCAGAAAAAAGGGGTTTGGAGAGCTGAAAGTTCACTCTATAGCGCTGAGTAAGGAGAGCTTTGAGAGCTGATTGAAGGCAAGGGGCATGTCCCCTTTCACACAACACACGGGAACAGATCTGAGGGCTGTCAATCACAGGCTGTGTGCTGAAGGTCCTTCCCATCACCTTTTGTTCTCTTGGTGTCAAAAATTTTTTTTCAGTAGTGAGGAACAGGGCAGCAGAGAGAAATGACACTTGGTGCTTTGGATAGTGTCAAGTACACACTATAAAGGGAAATGCTTTCTTCATATTTCATGTCTGAGGTTTACAACCACTTTAATGGATACTATGCCTCAATCAAATCTCAAGATACCATTTAAGCCTCGGTTCACATCAATGCAACTTGTCATGCTACTTGCGAATTTGAAGTTGCATGACAAGTCGCATACCATATCTTTCAATGGAACTCAAGTTGCAGTGACTCTGAAAAAAGGTTCCTGCACTATTTTTGTGTAACTTCATTGTGGCTTGCATTAATCTGTTGTTCAAGTCTCAATGAGTGGCAGCAAGTGCCAATGAAGTCACACATTATAGTCGGACCTCAGTCGCACGACAGCATTGATGTAAACTGGGGCTCAGTTGGCTAAAATAAAATTTAAATTGAATTAGATTGAGAGAATAAACTGACATTCTCAAGAGATTGAAATTTGCAAACCTGTACTTTCACCGGCAAGTTTTAGGTACACTTGTTCAATTGCGTGGTATCACAAATTGCTAATCAGCCAATAATGTGGCAGCAACTCAATGCATGTAGGCATCTAGACATGGTGAAGATGACTTGCTGAAGTTCAAACCAAGCATTAGAAAGGGGATTTAAGTGATTTTGAATGTGGCATGGTTGTTGGTGCCAGACGGGCTGGTCTGAGTGTTTCAAAAACTGCTGATCTACTGGGATTTTCACGCACAACCATCTCTAGGGAACTCTAGACTTATCAGACCAGGCAATGTTTTTCTAGTCTTCTATTCAATTTTGGCAAGCCTGCGCAAATTGTAGCCACTGTTTCCTGTTCTTAGCTGACAGGAGTGGCACCCGGTGTTGTCTTCTGCTGTTGTAGCCCATCTGCTTTAAGGTTTGTCATGTTGTGCATTCAGAGATGGTATTCTGCATACCTTGGTTGTAATGAGTTATTTGCGTTACTGTTGCCTTTCTATCATCTTGAACAAGTCTGCCCATTTTCCTCTGACATCGACAAGGCATTTTTGTCCATACAGCATATTTTCTCTTTTTTGGACCTTTCTCTGTAAACAATAGAGATGGTTGTGCGTAAAAATCCCAGTAGATTAGCTAATTTTGAAATACTCAGACCAGTCCATCTGGCACCAACAACCATGCCATGTTCAAAGTCACTTAAATCCCCTTTCTTCCCCATTCTAATGCTTGGTTTGAACTTCAAGTCATCTTTACCATGTCTACATGCCTAAATGCATTGAGATGCTGCCATGTGACTGGCTGATTAGGAGTGTGTTACCAAGCAATTGAACAGGTGTACCTAATAAAGTGGCTGGTGAGTGTATGTGTAATCAATACAGTTTCTTAAATCTAAAATAAACAGTTTTTAAATAAATGGAGTAAACTAATGTCCCTGAAGATATAATGAAGAGACATGTCCTAGTCATGTTATCAGACGGAGATGCACTGTTTCATTCATAAAAGAGAGGCACGTCCTACTCCATTTAAAACTCTTGGGATTCTAGTATGTAGATTAAAAGAGAAGTATGGGAATAAAACAAAAAACAAACATTCATATTCGCTTATATGGCTGAAGCTTTCCCCTGCCAGCTCTACATCGAGAAATTAGAGATCAAAGACCACTGTTCACTCAGTTCTCTAGTCTGCTCTGAGCACAGAGTGGCAACTGTCAATCACCTCTCTGTGCTCTGCCCCTCCAGTGCTCACTGGAATTCTGGGCTGTGGAGGGGGTGGGAATGGCTCGCTCAGGCTCCCAGAGGTGCACAGAGAGGCTGAGCCAGTTTCTGGTCAGGCATCTGGGCAGTTCCTGACATTGTCGGGATCCCTTCAGAGCCTGGCCCGGCCGAGTGACATAGTTTCCATTAAAGATGTTCAAGTGCTGTAATTAAACAGTTTCACTTCTGCTGTATTGCATTGTCTGTACGGATATGTTTCAGTAAAGAAGTTGGATTTATCACAGTGAAGTTATCCATCTACTTCCTATAGACAAACCCCTACTATCAATTAAGGATCTGTTAATTACACTTCTAAGCAATAGCCCCACAAGCTAATTGACAGCATTTGTTGTCACAGGGCAACAAAAACATTTACTGGACTACAGTATGAACAGTAGTCACCAAGGTATCATGTGACTAATCCAGGTGCATCTTTATCACAGTATGACCATTTCTGCTTCCTCTGCAGGTCTGTTGACTGGAGTAGTGGTAGACTCCGGAGATGGGGTCACTCATATCTGCCCAGTTTACGAAGGTTTCTCTCTGCCTCATCTCACTAGGAGACTTGACATTGCGGGCAGGGACATCACTCGCTACCTTATAAAGGTAAAATAATAGAGTACCATATTCTCAGTAAAACCTAATTGATTTCATGTGCAGCTTTTTACTGTGTTTCAAGCTACTGGAGAAAATATAATAATTGTTTAATTATTTTATCAAGTTTTTTAGGTTTTATTTCAGGATACTTTGAGACAGCATAAATAAAGATTAACTCAAGAAAATGTATAGTTGTATAATAATGTAGTAAAATCCATAATATTTGGATAGCATTTTACTTTTGAGTGCTTTTTCATTTGGTTTTAAATCTGTAACCAAAATCATTCTGTTAAAGTATATTTTATAGTTCCTAGAAAACTCCTATTTTGTGACTAGTGGTTCTGTTGCGATCTGATGTGCAATCTTCAGCACAGACACTTCCACAGCTACATACCCTCTAATATAGTTTAATGTGTGAAGTTCTCCTGTAAACCTACACTAAATTCAGGATTGCTGGATCCTTATCACACTTGGAAAAGGTTTGTGGCAGTGATTGCCCTGCATTCGTCAATATAGAATTTTCATTATGGCTAAAAGGAACAGCTCTCCTCTTCCTACAGATAAGTGTCCTTTAGTATACCCATGGGCTGCTGCAATGTAGATAAGGGCTGTAAAGAGGTGTATAACCTTTCAGATGTGGTATGTCACTTGAGCGCTGAGATGACCAATCCTTGGCTTAAAATTACTACTGTGGAATCATTTTAGAAGACTGAGTCTGTTGATGGGAAATGTATTCAAAATGTTGTTTTATATCTACATTTTTTGTGTATTCAGAGGATGGAATGCAGTGTTGTGTAAAGTGGTGGATTCTTCAGAAGATTTTGTATTGTACTGGTAGTAGTGCAATTAAATAATGCAAACACCATTGAACACATCTCATTTTTTATAAAATAAGTCCATAGAACACATAGGCATTTATTTTAAAAAGTTGGTCTCCTAAATGTCTTGTATTTGTTAGCAAGATTTACCAAAGTAGCGAAATAGTAATCAAAATGTTATAATTTAAAGTATGAGTAAACCCTCGTCCTTGTAAAGCAGCCCATTCAGTTTATCCTCTTGGCGCCAGCCGCCTCCCAGCCCTTTAAAGGTTCTAGGACAGGAGGCTGAGGCGGGCCTTCAGGTCATGTGACCGCTGTGATTGGTGATCACAAGTAAGCATTGGAAGCTTACCGATTTACCACTGGCTACAATGCTGGGAGCACGCTCTCAGCACTCTAAGTAGTTTTAACAGGGCTGCATATATGCGGCTGCTCTGTGTTTAAAGTGGTTATAAAGGCTAAAGGTTTTTTACCTTCATACATTATATGCATGAATACCTTCTGGTACCATGTATACCTTCTGTGTGTAGCAACCCCCCCTCCCCCCGGTCCCCTTTAACACTTATCTGAGTCCTATCCCGATCCAACAATGTCCAAGGGATTCTCGATTCTCCAGGAGCTTGCTGCTGATTGGCTGAGGCAGCACTGGCAGCCGTTGGTTTCCACTGCTGTCAATCACAGCAAAACAGGTGAGGGAGGGGCGTGGCCAAGCCAAAGTTCTGTGTGTGAATGGACACGCAGAGCTGCGGCTCGGGAGTGCGGCTGCTTGGGTGTCCATAGCAAGCTGCTTGTTTTTTTTGGTTTTTTTTTTGTAACAAGTGTTCACACACCCTCTGTTCTCAGTTGCATAAGGATCTTAAAGAACTGGGGAGGAGAGGCAGCAGCACACTGATCTTCCTAGTGAACGGCTGTGTAGGGGTGGGGTGTGAGCACAAGTCTGACCATTGGAGTAGAGCAGGATGAGTTCTCAGTACAGCTAGAAAACTTGCTGGAATTTCACACAAAGTAAACTATACATAGAGAACAGGATACTATTTCATACAAGCACATGGTACAGCAGGCACATACCAGGAATATGAAATGTTGGGTTTACATATTTTATGCATTGACAATGTTTTATTGCAATTAACTGGTCCTTTTAATTACAATATACATTTATTGAAGAATCCTCAATATGCAGCAATTTATGTACCAGCCAGGCATTTTTTAATGTGCCGTTTAGTAGAAATTCTAACTACGTTTAAGGCAGCACTGTCCAATGACATTTTGAATATTTATTTCAGGTACTTATATAGCGCCGTCAATTTACGCAGCACTTTACATATATAGTGTACATTCACATCAGTCCTTAACCCTCAAGGGGCGTACAATCTAAGGTCCCTAACTCGCATTCATACATACACATACAAGGGCCAATTTAGACAGGATCCAATTCACCTGCCAGCATGTCTTTGGAGTGTGGGAGGAAACCGGAGTACCTGGAGGAAACCCACGCAGGCACAGGGAGAACATGCAAACTCCAGGCAGGTGGTGCCATGGTTGGAATTCAAACCAGCGCCCCTAGTACTGCCAGGCAGAAGTGCTAACCATTTAGCCACTGTGCTGCCCATAATAGTTCATATTTAGCTAGTTTTGCCTTTTAGTTACACTTTAATCTTCATTTGTCAAAATCTTGGGATCTCTCTCCTGTTTTTCTACCCTGGATTTTGATGCATTTTTTCCATGCCAAAAATTTGGGCTGCACAGTATTGCTATATATTCATGCCTGGGGGCAGTGGATGTACAGTGGGGATCGAAAGTTTGGGCACCCCACCTAAAAATTTGTATTAATGTGCATAAAGAAGCCAAGGAAAGATGGAAAAATCTCCAAAAGGCATCAAATTACAGATTAGACATTCTTATAATATGTCAACAAAGGTTAGATTTTATTTCCATCATTTTACACTTTCAAAATAACAGAAAACAAAAAAATGGCGTCTGCAAAAGTTTGGGCACCCTGCAGAATTTATAGCATGCACTGCCCCCTTTGCAAAGCTGAGACCTGCCAGTGTCATGGATTGTTCTCAATCATCGTCTGGGAAGACCAGGTGATGTCAATCTCAAAGGTTTTAAATGCCCGGACTCATCTGACCTTGCCCCAACAATCAGCACCATGGGTTCTTCTAAGCAGTTGTCTAGAAAACTGAAACTGAAAATAGTTGACGCTCACAAAGCTGGAGAAGGCTATAAGAAGATAGCAAAGCGTTTTCAGATGTCCATATCCTCTGTTCGGAATGTAATTAAGAAATGGCAGTCATCAGGAACAGTGGAAGTTAAAGCAAGATCTGGAAGACCAAGAAAAATATCAGACAGAACAGCTCGTAGGATTGTGAGGAAAAAAAAATTCAAAACCCACGTTTGACTGCACGATCCTCCAGAAAGATCTGGCAGACACTGGAGTTGTGGTACACTATTCCACTATAAAGAGATACTTGTACAAATATGGTCTTCATGGAAGAGTCATCAGAAGAAAACCTCTTCTACGTCCTCACCACAAAAATCATCGTTTGAACTTTGCAAATGAACATAGACAAGCCTGATGCATTTTGGAAACCAGTTCTGTGGACCGATGAGGTTAAAATTTAACTTTTTGGCCGAAATGAGCAAAGGTACGTTTGGAGAAGAAGGGGCACAGAATTTAATGAAAAGAACCTCTGTCCAACTGTTAAGCATGGGGTTGGATCAATCATGCTTTGGGGTTGTGTTGCAGCCAGTGGCGCAGGCAACATCTCACGAGTAGAAGGAAAAATGGATTCAATAAAATTTCAGCAGATTTTGGATGGTAACTTGATGCCATCTGTGAAAAAGCTGAAGTTAAAGAGAGGATGGCTTCTACAAATGGATAATGATCCTAAACACACCTCGAAATCCACGTGGGATTACATAAAGAGGCGTAAACTGAAGGTTTTGCCATGGCCTTCACAATCTCTGGACCTCAACATAATTGAAAATCTACCTTAAAAGAGCAGTGCGTGACAGACAGCCCAGAAATCTCAAAGAACTAAAAGACTTTTGTAAGGAAGAATGGGCAAAGATACCTCAAACAAGAATTGAAAGACTCTTGGCTGGCTACAAAAAGCGTTTACAAGCTGTGATACTTGCCAAAGGGGGCAGTGCATGCTATAAATTCTGCAGGGTGCCCAAACTTTTGCAGACGCCATTTTTTTGTTTTCTGTTATTTTGAAAGTGTAAATGATGGAAATAAAATCTAACTTTTGTTGACATATTATAAGAATGTCTAATCTGTAATTTGATGCCTTTTTTGGAGATTTTTCCATCTTTCCTTGGCTTCTTTATGCACATTAATACAAATTTTTAGCTGGGGTGCCCAAACTTTCGATCCCCACTGTATATACTTACTAAACCGACTGCAGGTGATCTTGTTTCCCCATTCAGCACTTTAATCACATACCCAGTCTTTTTCTTAATCTCTCCACTCTGTAACATGCATTTTCTAAATCACATTCACACAGTTGTATCCTCTTTCCCCTCTTCTCCACCCCACAGCTTATATATAATTACCCTAACTTCTGTACTCTCCCTATTACTGCAGTCATCAGTTCCTGCTAATTCTGAACCCACATGCTAATAAACCCTCTAAGACACTGGGGCAAGTCCCTTCATATAAATTATGCTCTGATATTACCTCCCTCACCCTTCTACTTTGCCTTATTTCTGGAGATATATCCCCTAACAGTGGGACTCCATCATTTAACTTTGGTAAACACACCCATCATCCCCAGCAGCAGCCTCAATTCACAATTTAATTTTTATTCCTCTTTTCAAAATAAGCCATCCCTTTTTATGTGCCCTTAGGAATGCCCACTCTGTCTGTAACAAACTCGCCCCTCTCCAAGACTTCTATAATCTACGTGCTGTTGTTGAAACCTGTCTTTAAGAATCTGACTCTGCCTCTCCCACTTTGCTGTCCCATGGAGGTCTTTTCTGGACTTGCTCTCCTAGACCCAGTGGACGGAAGGGAGGTGGAGTTAGAATCCTTCTCCCAACAAACCACTATTCAGGTTCTTTACCTCCCTCTCTGTTCCTCTCCATGTGAGGCACACTGTATTCATCTATTTTCTCCAGTTTCTTTGAGTATCACTGATCTGTCGGCCTCCTCGACCGGTATCATCCTTCTTCCTTGATGACTTT